CCGAACGACCTACAATAGAAAGAAAAGATTCCGATGCTGGTTCGTCCACCCGAGGGCACTCTGACGATCAAGTCAGTTATCTCTCAAAGATAGTAAAAGTGCTTAACTCACTATTCAGAATACAAAAAGCATACCTTAAACCCACGAGGGTGCCTCTCTTTTATAGCTAACACTGACCTAATCCCAATAGAAGCCTAGCTCCAATGGATTCTGGATTACTGCTAATCTTGGACTCTCAGTAGGATTGGGATAAACTCTCTAAGAGTCTTATCCTTACCCAAACTGGAGTCCTCTCCCAATCTAGGACTCTTGTCCCTTATCCGTTTACCCCGGGACCACAATGCCAAACTAGTACTTAACTGGAAAGCACTGACAGAATAGATTAAGCCCGAACGACCTGCAATAGAAAGAAAAGATTTCGATGCTGGTTCGTCCACCCGGGGGCACTCTGACGATCAAGTCAGTTATCTCTCAAAGATAGTAAAAGTGCTTAACTCACTATTCAGAATACAAAAAGCGTACCTTAGACCCACGAGGGTGCCTCTCTTTTATAGCTAACACTGACCTAATCCCAATAGAAGCCTAGCTCCAATGGATTCTGGATTACTGCTAATCTTGGACTCTCAGTAGGATTAGGATAAACTCTCTAAGAGTCTTATTCTTACCCAAACTGAAGTCCTCTCCTAATCTAGGACTCTTGTCCCTTATCCATTTATCCCGGATTTCAGTATTCTCGCAGATAACCTCAACTTAGCCGAGATTACCTCAGCAGCATGACCATGACACGTGGCACCTTGACTGGCACTCCTGTGACACTTCGGCCACGTGTTGTCATTCAAAAATTATGTGTAGACACCCCATTTTGACCGGCCCTAAGACTTAGGCACTTTGTTTTGACCACCCGCTGATGAAAATTGGAATATGTCATTTTATGAATTTCTTAGCAGAAAAATCAAATTGAAGATTTAATTCCAAACCTCACCCATTTTGGTCAAATTATTTTATATCACTAATATTTTATTAATTTATAATATTTTATAATTTTTATCTAATTTTATGTGTGTACATATTTTTAGGTGTTTTTATATAAAATAATAAAAAAACAAACAAAAAAATGAAAAAATGAAAAAGAAAATAAAGAAAAGAAAAGGAGAGGGTCAAATGAGAATAATGGATTTTGGGATGGAAAAGGATTTTGTTTTTGCTGGATTCAAGAGGAACAGAGTGGACATTGTGATGATAAATTTTTGGTAGAAAATAATTCGGTGGAATGGGGCTCAATTCGATGAAGTGGGTTTGAAAAGTGGCGGAGGAAATTGAAAAACAGAGGAGGGCAGGTGGGAATGGGTGGAGACATACAGACTTTTTGGGTAGAGGGGACAATGGGCATCTTCGAAATCAAATTGAGAGATAAAAAGAGAGAAAATAAATGCTGAGTGGGGGGAAGGGGTGATATTATAACAATAATGCTAGGTATGATGAAAATAATGTTATGAAAAGTTTTTATGAAGATTCTCTATTTTTGGATTAAATTATAGTGTTTGTAGTGTTATGCATTTACCATTAGATTAGTTTTACGAAGTTTTTCATAATATTTATTTCATGATATGTACCATTACCCCTATTATAATGAGAGGGGCGGTGAGTGGTGTGAAAAAGGTGGTAAAAAATATTGTTATTTTAAGGAGAGAGATAGGTTACGGAGAAAAAAGGTAAGAGAGAGGGAGGGGCCACACACTCACGGGCACACACCCACCATAACCACCATACACCATTTATACACACTGATACACAACTCACTCTCCATTGAGACAGCACAACATACTCAGGCACATTGCCATAGCACACACAGCATACACAGACACACGACAGCAACCCATTCATCACTGAGCACACACATACGGGTTTAGAAAGAGAGAGAGCACCCAGCACATCTTCATAGACACTTATCACACGCATGCACATGGTAGACACACACCATACACACACACACCACTCATCACACCCACACACTACACACGACATGAGAGCTACAGACTGGTCACACACACACGGTTTTAGAGTGAGAGAGGCCACACACTCACGGTATATACACACCCATCACCACCATACACACGATTACACACACACAGACCAGACAAGCACACAACACACACACACAACACCCACTAAAGCTCTCTCCCTCTCTGAATACACTCACTCACTCTCTCTCTCTCTAGAGATGAGCTTCTCAAAGGGGGTTGAGCTAAACAAAACACATGCATGGAGGGATACACATCAAAAATAGATTAAACTCTCCCTCTCTCTAGGTACATGCAACTATGGCAGTGGGACTGTGTTTCTCTGGCTGGTGGAGGAGATAACGAAATGATACACATGCATACATCTCTCTCTCTCTCTCTCAATGGCGGGTGACCCATGAACATTTTAGTATCATCAGCTTCATGCAATTGCTATATTGAACCAGAGTGAGCACTTCTGGCAAATAGAGTGAAATCATGGACAACAAGACATGGCTTTGGAGGACAAGAAATGAGCAAACAACTACGCATACGGGGGCATGGCATGGGACTCAGAAGCTTTCTCTCTCTCTCTCTCTCTCTCTCTCTCTCTCTCTCTCTCTCTTAGTTTCCAGATGAACCACCATCCAGGCTAAAGCATGATGAGCGTGGTCTTTTATCAATGGCAGCAGCAACATCTCCCGAAACCCATCTCCCTCTTCTCTCTCTAGACATTCCTAGGATGCTCTCTCTCTAAGACACACACCGCATGTAATCTCAACTAGGAGGCGTGCATGCATGAGGCAGCCGGGTTGGCCTAGGAATGGGGAGATCAATTTTAGGTTCACTTTGTTTTGAAGCCCAAAAATTCAAACTAACCCCCTCTCCGAGCTCACACCTGTTACCGAATATGCTGCACCTGGTAGGCTTTTCTTGGCGCCTATTGCTAACTATTCAACTTTGCTAAAGTGAAATATCTTGGGGTCATGGGGCTCACGTGTTCTCTCAGAGGGCCTTGATATTAAGTATAATGGAACTGTTGTATGATGCCAATGGCTCTCCATGGGCCATTAACTTTGGTTCATAGGTCAACAGTTTGGCCCACTTTTATGGGCTGGTTGAATAATGCTTGGCCGTGGGTTTGTTTCACATCTCTTTGGCCCAATTTGTTAAGAAATTGGTGGAAGTTAGAGCATGGACTGATGCGGTCCACTTGGTAAGGATTTTTGGTTATATTAGCGGCCCATTTTGGACCTAATGGTTATTTTATCAGATGGGCCCATTATCCATCTTTTAAAGATGGATTTTTTTGTTCAACCATGGCGCAGTAGTATATGGTTTATAGCGATCTATTTATGATAATTGATCACGTGATTCTCATGTGACTCTATATGAGGTTTTGCTTGAGCCATCTCTGCCATGAGTGATTAAGGTGTCACTATTTCATTTTATTTTTATTTTGAGTGTTTGTGAGGTTTTGATTTTACTCATTTCCCTCGGATTTGTAATATTTAAAGTGTTGTAATAATCCCCCCACCCCGCTTCTTTCTATCCCATTCTTTACTCGCTTTCCCTAACTATACATATGTATATATCTTACATGCCATGCATATCCATGCTTTGCATCCATGTTTCATGCATTAAGATTCGGCTAAATTTACATGTGTGGATTTAATCAATTCTTCTGTGATTCTATGCACTACCTCATGTTATTGAGATGATTCACATGCCATAATTTAGAAGCTGAATCTTTAGTGCATCTCATGAGTGAATTGCATTAGAATTCTGTATATAAGATCATACATATTTTACTAACTTTGTTTTGTAGCTGTTCGAGGGACGTCGGTCAATCTATGAGTTTTTATGCTTTAGCATCCCATTTATGTGTGTTTTTCTTACTATGTGTTAGTATTCTACCATGAGGTTACTTGCTTACTTAATATAAACTGTTTGAATGACTATGGATGAAGACTTGTTGCTTGAATTGAAATGATTCAATGATTGTACGTTTTAAGCCCACTTTGTGGTGGCAAATTCACAAACTTTAAGCTCACTTGAGGTGGCAACACTGCTGGAAATTTAGGTTTTAGGGGCGTTTTAAAAACGCCGCAATAGGCCTTAAAAACGCCGTTAAATCTTTTTGTGACGTTTTACACCAAACGCCGAAGATGCGGCCGTCGCTATAACTCTGTGACGCTTGAGAAACGTCGCTATATGACAATAGGCGGCGTTTTTAAAAACGCCGTTAAAAATTCTACTAACGGTAACATGACGTCAGCATGTTATTTAGCGACGTTTTTAAAACGCCGTTGTATCTCTAATGCTATTTAACGACGTTTTTAAAAACGCCGTGATAGCCCTATAAATAAATAAATAAAATAACACACCCACCAGTGCCCTGCTATTAATTAAAAAAAAAAAAAAAGCTGCACTTGACATAATTAGACTCATACTTTCATATTCTATACAAAAAAATTGATTTCATATTGGCCTGGTTTGGAAAATGGGTTTTGTTAGAATTTACCATAAACCTACCACCACTACCACCTCACCTACTCCACTAAACCTAACCCACTACACCACTACCACCTCCACTTCACCTACTCTCCACCTACTCCCAAACACACTCCTATATAATAGGAATCCTTGTAATTGTAATAAACACAAAACATTAATCAATCAATAATACATATATTTTTACATGGTATCAGAGCAAGGTTAAGACCCTGATCATTCTGCTTCACCGGCGGGCGGCAGCCTCGCCTTGGCCGCCCGCCGGACCTCTACACATACCCTGACTCCGCTGTAACTTCATCTTCCTCTCCTCACTATTGAAGAACTCTGCTATTAGCCCTCTTCTTTCTTTCTTCGTCACATATGTTGACAGTACCGGTTACGAAGAAACCGACCAAGAACGGCCAGTTCCAACTCCATTCTCGCCGGAAGAAAACAGACCACGGACCAACCATTGCTAGACTCTCCCAAGAGAAAACTCTCTCTCTGCAAATCTCTCTCTTTGAAGTAACGCCAAGAAGATGTGCGGCGGTGCTATCATCTCCGACTTCGTCCCAGCCCACTGCGGCCGGAAACTGATGACGGACGATCTCTGGTCGGAGCTCGATCCGTTCTCCGATCACTTCGGTCTGGACCTTTCAAGTTCAAATCAGTCTGAGAAGAAGACCAAATCTCGCAAGCCGAAGCAACTCAACAAAGGGACGAGCGAGAAAGCTGCGCGGACGAAAAGTGAGACTCAGAGGACTCGAAAGAACGCGTACAGAGGAATCAGGCAAAGGCCATGGGGGAAGTGGGCGGCTGAGATTCGCGATCCTCATAAAGGCGTCCGAGTCTGGCTCGGAACCTACAACACGGCTGAGGAAGCAGCCAGAGCCTACGACGAGGCCGCCAAACGTATCCGCGGTGATAAGGCCAAGCTCAACTTTGCTCAATCACCGCCACCGCTGCCGCCACCGGCTAAGAGGCAGTGCGTCATCCCCGAGTCGACTCAGGTGAGCTTCCATGGTTAGGAATTTTAATCAAAATTAAATTATTATTTCTTTCTTTCATGTTTTGACCATTATAAATTATATGACACTCTTTTTTCCTCATTTTTATATTTGGCCTTTTACATAGATAGAATACTCATGATCCTTTGTTGTGGGATAATAATTAAATAATAATCGAAAGTAAAACCATTATTGGCGATATAAAAAGTTAAGGGGTTGTTTGGCTAGATATGAGTATATTTATTTAGATAAGGGTATTTATTTACGTCATATCGGCCCTGTTTGGTAGAGTTGTGGGAAAGTGCTTATAGCTTATGTTTCAACAACTTATAGCTTATAACTTTCAGCTTAAGCTGATTTCCAGCTTATTCTTAAAGTATCTCCTGCCCCACTCAAAGAATAAGTTGATTTCTGACTTTCAAAAAGGTATAAGGTATAAGCTATAAGCTAAACTAAACACATCAAAATAGCTTAAATTAAGCTGAAAGCTGAAATAAGCTGTAATTAAGTTCTACCAAATAGGCACATTATCTCTTTATTTTTTTATACATATTTTTATAAAAAAAAATAAGAAAATATATTTATATAGAATATTTCAAATAATCCTAAGTATTGCCGCTGGGAGTTGATTCAGCGCAAGGTTAGGCCTAAAAATGCTTTCAACCGAGTTTGATTCCCGGAATCTCTTGCATGGCGCTTTTATATTTCGTCTCAAGTGAGGCCTTTTGGGAACTTTCCAAAAAAAATTTCGATATGCAAAAAAAAGTCGGCAAAAGTGAGGTCTCTTATTTTTACACTTTTTAACTTTTTTATACAAAAAAAAAAAGTCGGCAAAAATTAGTTTTTTTAATATAAAAAAGCCAAAAATTCATTAAAAAAAATTTAAAAAAATTAACTTTTCACTAACTTTTTAAAACACCACTTAGTTTGGAACTGAGAGTGGTGTAACCTGAATTCTCCCTTTTTTTTTATAACCCAAAAAAAAGTAAAACATTAATATTCACTCTGATTGGTTTCACTTTTCAGAATTTACTTTTTAAAAAAAATTATTTTTTTATTTTCATTGAATTTTTTTAATATTTTAAGTAATTTTTTTAATTTGTAAACACACCTAACATAAATACGTTTAAAAAGTATAATATTTGTGAATTTTAAAAAATTCACAAAATATTAAAAATACAAAAAAAAAATTATGAAAATTCAGTATATTTTTCATATTTTTGTATATTTATTAATTTTTTAAAATAATTTTTCACAAATATTTTATTATTTAGATGCACCTAAGTAAGATGCATCTGACTATATAAAAAAATTACTTAGAATTTTAAAAATATTCACTAAAAACAAAAATACGAAAAACAAAAAAAAAACTTAATTTTTAGAAAATTGAATTCAAAAAACTAAAACTAAACACATTGATTAATTTTAAATAATTTTGTTACAAAATTAATATTACAAATAATTATTAAGAGGTGGATTTCCTTAAGTCTGGAGGGCGTTGTTCGGACTTGTAAGATTCACTATAGGTCTAATTTCAATGATCTAAACTATTTATTTTGTTAAACATTTCATGTATATCATCTACACAAAAAAGATTAGATTGGTCCAATAATTATAACATATTCAATTTATCACACATATTCAATTTATCAAGTTTGTCACAAAAAAAAAAAAAAAATGAGTGACAATTATGTTTTTGAATAAATTATGATTGTCGAATTGATTTAATTTTTTTTTTTTGTAAATAATATATACATGAAAGTATTTGACAAAATAAACAATTTGGCCTCATCAAAAAAATCAGTATTAAATTAGTGATCTGTTTGATATAATATTTTATATTTATAATTACTCTTTTACCATTGAAGAGAGAGAGAGAAAGAGAGTGTGTAGTAAAATTAATTTTAAATACTGTTTTAAACTCTTAATTTAAATTCATTTTATATCCTATTCTGTTTTTAATTTATTTTTTTTCATAAATATTTATAATTAATTTTTTGTTTATGATTTGGATAGATTTATCAATTCATGGATTTTGGGTTCCAACCCCAACAACCCTATTGTTGCCCGAACCCAATGGCTGATGAATTTGAGTTCAAGGAGCAGATCTCCAGCTTGGAATCGTTCCTGGGTTTGGACTCTGAGCCAACATTAATCATCATCTATCTATCTCTCTCTCTCTCTCTCTCTCTCATATTTTAAATTTCTAATCATGTTTATCTCTCTCTATCTCATCTTTAAATTTCTAAATCATGTTTATGCCTTGTTTTAATTCCTGATATATAGATCCTATAATTCCTTGCAACCTATAAAGCAAGTACGTCAACAACAAATAATGCAAGGAATTCCTCCAATACTAATAATAGTGAAAATGCCAATATCACTGCTGGAAATTTAGGTTTTAGGGGCGTTTTAAAAACGCCGCAATAGGCCTTAAAAACGCCGTTAAATCTTTTTGTGACGTTTCACACCAAACGCCGAAGATGCGGCCGTCGCTATAACTCTGTGACGCTTGAGAAACGTCGCTATATGACAATAGGCGACGTTTTTAAAAACGCCGTTAAAAATTCTACTAACGGTAACATGACGTCAGCATGTTATTTTAGCGACGTTTTTAAAACGCCGTTGTATCTCTAATGCTATTTAACGACGTTTTTAAAAACGCCGTAACAATGTTCCATAAATACACATGTATCAATAACCCAGCACCAAAAAAATGAATACAAATGCATCAGTATGACTAATACATGGATAATGATTTCATAAAATTGCAAAGTTACACTAATATGAAACAATAACTCCTATTTCCATTCAAATGAACATTTGTCAAAAAATAAGCCGATTATATAAAAAGTTGTCAATTAGCAAATATATCATTAATTCACTTTTTCATTTAATTTAATAACCAATCACCATTAACTAAAAAATAACATATCCACAATTCATGTTTTAACATTTGCCAAAAAATAATAGGAAAAACATTAAGACAAACCCCGTGAGTTATGATTTAATTTAATATCATGTCTTTGTTGCTAAATTCACTCAACTCAACTGATATAGCATAGAATTTGTAATCTTCACTGGTCTAGATACCTGCATCAAAACATGAAAGCCAAATCAGGTAAAGTGCATAAATCAATAATAGTAAAAGTGTTACAACTATAAAACATAAAATCTACATTACAACTCACCATCTGTTGAAGAATGTTTTGTACCTGGAAAAATAATTTAAACAAATCAGTCATTTCTGAGGCTTTGAAACAGCAGAAAAAGGCCGAAAAATAACTTATTTGACTAGAAATAATCAAACAATTCATTGTATTCCTCAGCATACAAATCAATCAAGAATGAGAATATTCTAGAATGGCCTAGAGTTCAAGAAGTTAATTTAATATCAAACTCCATAAGAACAGGACAAGAATTTGACATCTTCTTGTACACTTCTTTCTGTTTTATTGAAACAAAACTAGTTTAATATTTTCATCAAACTATAGACTTATGGTCATATCATACGCTTTAGGTCTCCATTGCTATTAAGAACCTAGCAGAACTTCTCAAAAAGGAAAGAAATCCAGATTCAGGAAATGGATCATAATGCTGATTGGTAGCACCACACAATCCCTGATTCCACAGTCTCATATCACAAACTATAGATCAAAGTGTGAGAATATGAGTGTTCTAACACTCATATTCTCACACAAAGCACATCAACAAAAACTATATTCAAGCCAAATAATGAATGTTTGACTTATTATATATGTGGTCTCAAAAATAAAGCTAAATATGAATTTGGTAACAATTTCCAAATTCAAGTTTCAACAAATAAAATTTGTATTAAAATCATCTCAGTTTAGAACAGAACCATAGAAACATTAATGGCAGAGGGGACAATGGCAATGCAAGACGAGCATTATTACCTTGATCCCTTATCACCAAGGCCATGTAGCCAAACTATAGTAGCTTGGTGCTTCCCTTTAGGCCTGACCACATTGGTTCTTCCAAACTCAAATGTCCTTTGAGAAGTTCTACTACCTGAAACATTGCAGAAACAAAGTTCAAAACACATTATGCCGCTTAACGGAGAACCAGCTAGGTAGAGTCTGAAGAATTACTATGAATTGATAGACATTCACATTCCATATATAACCAGATAAAATAAGAATATATACTGACGGGGAAAAATACTAACCAGAACCTCCACTGGTGCTACCAAAGCTCATCTTACTGCGCAAACAATTACACTATCCAGTCCCTTGTGGCAATGATAAAGAAAAGGTCCTGCAATGAATAAAACCAAACTTGAGCAAGTCTATTTATACCCACTTTGGAGTGTCAAAATGGAATATGACCCAAGAATCGGCATCAGCTACGCTTAGTGTAAACCAGTTAAACACTAGCTGAAACTGCCTAAAAGTCAATAAGAAAGAAAAAGACACCCAAGAAAAGGAAAGATAAAGAAAGGAAATCTTTATGAGCAAAGAATCCACAACACACAAAAGCACATCAGTGCAAAAATTAACCATGAGCCACCTAAATCTAGAAGGTCACTGGTTCGCGCCGCACATTGAGAGAATATATTCTTGTAAACAATGGCGAAAGAAAAGCAACTCAACTACAACAACCCAAGAATATTTCCACAATAAACAAAGAAAAAGAAATATATATATATATATATATACATTGATCAATTGAGAGGTGAGAAAGGGCGGTGGGGTTTTAGCTTTTGAAACCAACCTGGAGGGTAGGGTGTTCAAGGGTAGAGCAAATCCAAAAGCATAAGGGCTTTTCACTTTACTCTCTCTTCCTCTGCATATGTACTACCTTTTCTTTCCTACTTTCTTTTTTTAATCTCTCTTTTTCTCTCTCTCTTTCTCTCAAAGCTTTGGTTTTTTTTTTTATTATGCCCAGTATACCTTAACATAGCATTACAAGTTAAAGTGAAACTGTCGAATTTTTACTTAAATAATAAAAAATTTAAACGCTACTTAGTAAATAGAAAAATAATCTCCCATATCAACAACTAAGGATGGTTTTGTAGTTCTAAGCTTTGGTTTTGTTAGTTCATACACTGGTCCAGGCACACGTACGGAGAGCGAAGCTGGAAAGGTGGGGGACACTATCAAAACTGGTCATTTTCTTACAACTATTTTATGTGACGAAAATGCACTTCATGTAGATATTTTCCACAAGTTTTAGCCCAATAATTCTAGGAAGGGTGTGTGGGGTACTGTTTGGACAATTTAAGAGTTAAATTAAATTTTTTTTCTAGAATTAAATGAAGCCTAAGGGTTTGAGGGAGGTGGTTGCTTGCTTGCCTGCTTTGAAACAAAGGAGGTGAACTACTATATATAGATAGAGGGGCTAGGCCATAAAGACTAGCTCAACACATGCCCAAATGGGTACAAGAGACAGGTAGTAGCCTCTGCCCAGCAAATGGGTACAACATTAGTTGTCATTTGGCTATGAATCCCTATCTTGTGCATCAAAAAAACAAAAAAAACTAACCTGCCCTGAAAAAGTAAAGTGAATCGAAGAGGAAGATAAATCTGGACAGAACAAAGAAAAAGAGGAAGAAAAGAAAAAAATCTGGACAGAACAAAAAATGAATGTTGTTCCATGCAATCACCTCATTGTCCATGCGTTTGAAGCTTCTCTCCATCACGATCTTCCACTCCTCCGTACTCGAATCCTTATTCTCTATCTCTTCCTTTACAAGTTCATGTAACCGATCTCTACACTTCATCACCACCTACAAAGAAATCAAACACCGATTAACACTTGTTAATGAAAAACAAAATAAAAACGACTTGCTTGAAACCTTGTTAATCAGCAGATTTAACAAAATGCGAGAGAGATCAGATCAAATTGAGTTCAGATTTTGATCAGATTAGATTGACTTCCTTTTTTATTGACGGAAAATAGAATGTGACAAGTGCACATGATTGTTACACCATTATTTTCCATCAACATATTAACGGTTAAGTCACATTGTAAATTGATCAAAAATACAAGGATAGACTATTATAATTGAAAAGTCCAGAGATAAAGTGAACTCAAGTATAAATAGCACTGCTACAAAAAGTTACTTATAAATATAGCAAAAATTATGAGTCCAGAAATTTGTCTGTCTCTGATTTTGCATCAACATTTTCTTCTTCTTCCAAGTGCTTCAAAAATTCAAATTGAAGAGACTTCACATGTTCACCACAACAACCATCAATGAGCTTATCAACTTCCATTTCATTTGAACTTTGACACATGCTATTTAAAGAATAACTTGAAATAGAGTCTAACATTTCATAATTCACATACATACGGCTCATAATTTCTCTTATTCTCTACACTAAATCATTTACCTTGTTAGTAGGCTAAATCATTTAACATGAAGCAGAATCTATCACTCTTGGACCAATAATTCAAAATTTGTTCAATTGCACAAGCTTCATGAAAAGAGGATTTTGAAATCACATACAAAACCATGGTAATATAAAGACACGTCAATATTAAAAAAAGAAAATATATATATATATATGCATATATAGGTTTGATTCTCAAGTTGATTAGGTTTAAATAAGGTCTAAATTAAGAAACAACTCAATCCTATCAATTTGACAAATTGAAGATCCGGAACCAAACCAATGGACTAAAAAAACCAAATCAAGCTAACCCAAAGAGACCGGTTTAATTCGATTCTTCGATTCTTCGATTCTTCAGTTCTCAGGCTAGCTGGTGCAGATGCTTTGTAATTTCAATAACCAAATCGAGAGAGACGGGAAGGAAGAGCATGAGAGAGAGAGAGAGACAGAAATCAATACCTAGCTGGTGCAGATGGTGGTCGCGGTGGAGCCTCGAAATTGAGAGAGAGAACTTCAAAATCGAAATCGCTCAGAGATGAAATCTCTGAGACCGATCTGAATCTCTGAGAAATCAAGCACTGCCTCTCTCTTCGCAAGCTCCCAGTCCCTGTCCTCTTTCTTCTCTCATAAAACTATGATTACCGGCCAGATCTAGGGAGAGAGAGAGACGGTGGAGCTTTGAAATCGAGAGAGAGATCTTCAAAATCGAAATCGCTCTGAATCTCAAAGTGAACCTGCATGAATCTGAATCTCAAAGAAAATCGCTCTCGAGGGTTTAGAAGCAATTGGGGCTGAGCAGGAGAGAGGCGAGATTTGAAGGTGTGAGAATGAGAGGGTTGAGAGAAAGAGAGAGAGATGCGTGCGTATTACATCTCAGATTCAAAATAAGGGTTTCAACAAAGAGGGACAGAGGAGGCGCATGAGGCTAACGGATTTGGAGGCGTTTAAAAGCGACTCCTATTATAAAACGGTGTAGTTTTATTTTAAAGAATAGGTGGCGTTTATAAAACGCCGTTAAATATTAATAAAAGTGACGTTCAAAAAAACGTCGTTAAAAAAACGCCACCATATCCCATTTTTCCTGTAGTGCAAATTCAAACCCTTTTCGAAAAATAAACATGAAATCGAATTGTTCCAATTTGAGCAAACTAGTCTGTACTTGCATGCTTCACATAGTAAATTTTAGGATTTACTAAAATAATCAAAACATAAACATATAAAGAAAATAAAAGTCATACCATGGTTTAGTAGAGACCGATCTTTTGATCGGGTGAGCGGGGGTGCTCATTATTGACCTTCCCCTCTCATACCTAAGGTTCCGAGCCAAGCATCTTTGGTTACAACGAACAGTGGCCTTGGCACGAGTCATGGGTTTCCTAATTTCCCAAAATATTAGGTGGCGACTCTGAGATCTGGTGACGCAGTCCATTTTTGACGAAAATTGCAATAAAATGGATTTTCAATAAAAGTTGTCAAATCTTGACTCTCATCTACGTTTCACATTACACTACTGAGGCTAGATCAAAGAAATCTCGAGGGTCCGAACTGTTTAACGTATGTGGGTACCCCCCGGGCATGTTACATTATGTCCCCACACTGTCTTTTCTCAATAATATGTAGGTTAGAGTTTTAAATTTCTCTATCATTGATAAGTAAAAAGAATTTCAGATTGTGCAGTAAAAGAACAAGGGGAAAAAAAAAAAAAAAAACTCAACACAAAAAAAGGGGAAAATAAAGGAAACAAAGTAAGCCTAATTTCTGCTACTATAGTCATCGATTATAGTCTTACCCCATATTGTCAAATCTATCACAATATAACTACAAACTCTCAACTCAACAAATAATGAAACCACAAAAAATTAAAATATGAAGGGAGAGACTAGTTTATAGCGCAACAAAACCAAAAATTGAGACCTCATTGTCGCTGGAATAGTCATTTTTTAAATTTTATTTATGATAGTCATTAATCAGCAATAGAGGACCTTAGTAAGCTACATATACCCATCCGAGACTCAAAACAACTCAGCCGCAGCAGTCCCCTAAGCTACCCACAACAATCCCCTAAACTACCCACAACAATCCCGTAAGCTACATATATTTGGTATCAACTAGCAGCAGCAAAATGGCCCAAAACAGAGAAGAACAACAACAGTAGCAACTAGAACAAATAGAAAACAACAGCAGCATCTAGCCGTAGCAACATCAAGCAGCAACAACACCACCTGTACTTTAAACATTATTTGACCTGATTTGCTGGAAGTTGCAGATCCTGGACTAAATAAGAACACCCCTTCCCATGAGCATTGATCCAAAATGCCACTCTCGCCATAATCAACTCACCGAAGTCAGCGAGGCAAAAAAGGTATCCAGTGCGTCCCTCATTGGTCGTCATGTGATGATGTAAATAGTCCAAGCTTTAACAACTTTTTTTTTTTTTGTTATTTTTTCTGGGTTTCCAATTGTACCATCATGAATTTGATATACCTAACAAACAAAGAAAGTGATTCCAACTTTCAAAAAATTATAAAATGGGACCTATTTAAGCTTCCAAACAATTTGTAAAATGGGACTTTACAGATTAACAAAGATGTCATGGGAACAAGTTAATGCCATGGGATTTTCACTAATTTTCCCTTAAAACATGGAGAGGGATGGAAAAGATCACTTCGAAGATTCATTTCAAAATTGACATTAGAGAATAGAATTTTAAATCCTATTATTTTCTCTTTTTTTCCGCCTCATCCTTCCCTTTCCCTTTTTTGAGATCAAATTGGCTTTTAGCAAATAGAATTTTGGTATTTGGTGCCACAGAACATAACGTGCTACATCTTAACTCTCAGTGTGCTTGTACTTGGATTTTCTGTTATTAAGTCATTTGGACATGTGCTTCCTTAAGTGTGCTAGGTTTTACTAAAATGGTTTGAACTTTAAAGACCAATTCTTGGTTTCAGTTTGATTAATGTTTCCTCAAAGAATAGCTCCAGGATATTAAAATTGTTGCCAACATTATCTTGGGATTATGTTCTGGTAATTGAATGTGCATTTAAGTTATAAGTTATAAAATTTAGTTTTGCGAAAATTGCTGGACCTAGTTGTTGCATGTGCATGCTTCTATGATTTTGTGGCCTAGTAATCTAGTTTGTCTTCTTTTTTTTTCTGTCTTTCTTTTGACCCCAAATAAATTTTTTCCGGCTAATTTGACTAGTCCGGACTCCACAGCAAAACTTGTTTTTCAGCCAAAGATCATTTTTTGTATGATGGAGGAATTAACGTCGACTTCAGGTTCCATGATAAAGTTAAATGCTTCCAATTATGCCATTTGGAAGCCCAGAATGGAAGATGTCTTGTATTGCCGAGATTTGTTTGACCCCATTGAGCTTAATGGAGTTAAACCACCAACGGAAAAAGACGAAGACTGGAAGCGGAAGAACC